CACAGGGTCAGGTAGCTGCCTACCACCCCAGACGAGACTGTCCTTCAGCATCGCTTCGTCTGGGTTTCTCTCTGTGCAAAGGCGGAGAGTTCAACCAGCACAGCTGGAGATGAATCTCCAACTAATTCCCAAAGCAAGCCCCCAGGTTTATCCTGTGCTCACTATATATATATATATATATATATATATATATATATATATATCTACTGGTATAGTCAGTCCACATAGGCAATAGGGAGAGTGGGACATTCCATTACAACATATCTATATATAAATATCTATAAATGTAAAAGATAATAGGAAAAATTTAATATTAGCCAACACGTTTTGTCCAATGTGAACTTTTCAAGTCAACAACGAAATGAATTTATTAAAACAAAGTAACTAATAATAACAAAACCAAATGTCCTTGTTATTTATTATCATTTATGTTATTATTAGTTTTAATAAATTCATTTCGTTTTTGCCTTGAAAATATCCACATTGGACAAAACTCGTCGGCTAATATTACAGTTTTCCTATTGTCTGTTACATTTATAAATATTGTCTTTTTCTACAGGTTAACTTTGAAAAATTTTTCATATATATATATATATACACTGAATATCCATTGTAAACAATTTGTTAGAGATCATGAGTTAACCAAGAAACTTTATCAATAGAATTCTTTTAGCCAGCTCCTTACTATACATGTATTCCCATCCATTATGCAGCCATATTTAAATTCATGTCTTTCTGAAATCAAATATAATAAACAATGTGAATATTCTCTAGATTTCTTTGTTTTACCACCTGTAACTGGGAATTCTGAAGTAACCACACACACACACATATATATATATATAATATTAGTGGTCAATATACATACATATATAAATTCCCAAGAGGATAGAATCCAGGTAGAACTCAATGTCCAGGACAGAGTAAGAATATAATATAAAAGGCTCAAACACTAATATTCCATGGTTATAATTTATTGCATTGGAATCATAATCGTGATCCAATTCATCAGACCTACAAATTATTTATAGGAATTTGTAGGTTTGATGAATTGGATTGTGATTACAATTCCAATGTAATAAATTATAACCATGGAATATTAGTGTTTGAGCCTTTTATATTATATATATATATATAATATGTGTGTGTGAAAGAGATATACTGATGTAGGTTCACACCGTGAGGATCAAAATCGCTACATGGTAAT